CGACGCGCCCGAAAACTCCAATGAACAACAACAAAAGCCCCGGTCACCCGCTTTATCCTAGCTCTGTGGCTCACCTTAGCCGCAACGTGCCTAGTCGCGTGCTAGCATCAGCTGGCTCGTATGCTGATTAATGGGCCCCTCATTACAAATTCGCTCTTGCGGGGAGACGTAACAGCGGCACGCGGCAGCGCACAGCGCACGTCCCCGCAGGGGCACCGGCTTCGGTCGGTGTAGGGGACTAGCGCCCCCTCGGGTCCCAGCTCTGGTAACGGGTGGACAGCGCAAGCTGTTCCTCTCAGGGCGTAGCGACCCTGCCGGCACGTGAGCTCCTGCTCCCTGTCCCGCCCGCTCCCTCCACATTACCTGCACTCCCGCATCGGGCCCTGTCACCACTCCTCATCCTCGTTTTATCGGGGTCGCCGTGCCCCCTCGCCCACGCCCCCGGGTTGATCGGATCCTGGTGGCTGAGGGGCGCGTCATGCGGGTCAGTCACGGCGCGCCCCAACACTTCACTTTGGCCAGGATATCCGGGGGCGTGGGGGGCCCCGTGGGTCCCCACACGGGTCTAGCGGCTTGTCGCTCGCGTTGCGGTTGGGTGCTCCTTGCGGATTTCCACTTGGGGCGCCTGGCCGCGCGCGGCGGCTTAAGGAGTCAAGGGGCGGCGGCGCTGAACCACGGTCAGGACGGGGAGGGGTCTCCCCGGTTACACCTGGCCGTGTGGGAGGCGTCGTTTGCCCCGTATAGCACCGGGGTAGTCCTGGCGGTGACTAGCCATCCTTTATGGGTTCTTCTCACCTTAAAAGGAGTCAAGGGGCGGCGGCGCTGAACCACGGTCAGGACGGGGAGGGGTCTCCCCGGTTACACCTGGCCGTGTGGGAGGCGTCGTTCGCCCCGTATAGCACCGGGGTAGTCCTGGCGGTGACCAGCCATCCCTTATGGGTTCTTCTCACCTTAAAAACAGCCGTCCTCCGAAAGGGGGACGGACCTCGATAACCCCAGGGTGCAGAGAAGAATCTGCGCCCCCCGGTCCACGGATCTTGATCTTCGGTAGTGATGAGACTAAGCTGTCTTCCCTCTCACCGTTTCAGAGGCGGAACGGCTGCGACAAGTTTGGAAAAATCACCAGATGTGACAAGCTCAGGGATGGGAAAATAGAGGTAGAGTTTGCTAGTGGTCTGGAGGCAAGCAGGGCGATGGCAGCCAAGGAATTTACGTATACTGTTCGGGATGAGACTGACAGGCATGAAAAGACCGTGTCAATATCAGCAACACCACATGAATCCAAAAATTAATCCAGGGGTGTAGTCAATTGTTTCGATCTTCGTGACGTCGCCAAGGACGAGATAGTCGAGGAGCTCTCAGAGTTTTGCGTGACGAGCGCTCGTAGGGTTCTCGTCAGACGGGGAGGGGTGCTGATACCCACCAACAGCCTCATTCTGACGTTTAATTCCACTGACTTGCCGGTCGAAATACGTGTGGGATATGCTCGAGTGAAGGTCCGCCCTTATAGTATCTTACGGATTTGATGAGACGGCGACACGAAACGTAGGAAAAACAATGGACGATATGAACCACAGATCACTCAACATTTCACAAGAACAAGAACTCTCTACCTTTCACAAGAACACCGTCCACAAGCAATTAAACTAACCCGAAGTCGGAGACTACGACGAAAATACAACGTAACCCTCGTGTGAGACGCTTTGTCATGTCCAGGCGGGTTGTCGCGCTAGCAAGTGTGATCTTGCCGGCACACTGGAACTGTTGCGCAGGCGCGAGGCAACACCTCTGACTTCTGACATCGTGCCGTGATCATTGCGTTTAAAGGATTCTGATGGCTCCTCGTCAACCTCCAAATATTCACAATGCCACATCTTACCCGCAGAAACGAGAAATGCTACGCGGACACCATAAGGTGCACGCTGCGTTAAGCTTCCTGCCGCCTCCGTCCGCACCGCTTGAGCACTAAGTGTGAGCAACTAAGTGTGATCCGAAGGTCCACTATGCGACGCGGTTTGTCTGTGACCATGCCTTCACACCAGCGTGCTTCAAATGAATGTGTTTTCCGTCGCAGCGCCATAGAAGTGTGCTGGGACCGTCGTCCTTCAGGATAATGCACATGCGGGACCAGTTCACGCGGTACTTCTTTTCAATGCTGTTTCGCCTTTGCTCGTGGCGACTTCTTTTTCGATTTTCTGCGCTACGTCCATCCACGACTGCGTCCATTTGCATATGCTTGCCGTTTCTTCCAGACATTGTCGATCCTGGTTTTCGTCGTTGCGAGACCCTTTTCACCATGATAGTATGAGGGTTCTGCTAGAACGCCCACGGCGTCATTAAAAGCGCCATCTGATCTTTTGCTTGCCAATTGACCCCGGTGTGAAACTTGATGACCGGTCCGTTAGGTTCCAGTGGCCAGCGCTAGAACACTTGTGGGCGAAGCCGTAGTCGTCCCAGTAAAACCTGGCATTGGCGTTGCATTTGTGTTTCGCCAGCTCATGGCTTACGCAGTACGCTGGCGGTCCGTTCTCGGCCATGTCAGATGCTCCAGTTGGCACCGCGGTCGGAGCTCACCACAGCATATAATCAACAACCATATGCTTGCCTGACCAATTTGCTTGCGGGGAACTCGCTGAGCGCCAACAAGCTGCAGTCGGTGAAACCCCGTATTGGATTATGGCAGTCGTGCTTTCGGGACAATAGGGTGGAAGAAGTTGCCCTTTGTCGGTTACGCATAGGTCACACATATGCTACGCACCGTCACCTGCTATTGGCTGGCGACAGACCATGCTGCGGTCAATGCTCTGATCCACTGACCGTGCATCACGTACTGGTCGCTTGCCGCCACCTTACTGCAACGAGAGCGCAGTTTTTCGGACGCCACGTCCAGAGTCGCACGCTACGCGACTTTTTAGGGGATTCTTCGAACATCGTCGGGTTTGGTAAAGTGCTCCAGTTCCTTCGCGCTATAGATTTTCCTGTAATCTTCTCATCATGATGCTAGGGCCGATCATCATGGCTCTATAGGGTGACCTGATTGATGCACTTCTCTGATTGACGGCTCTGCATGAATCGATAGTTATGGGCGCTGCATGACCTTTAGCAGTCGATGCGCCCTAAATCCCCAAATCATCATCATCATCATTGCGGGTTTCTCGTGCTGAGGTGCATGACCGATTTATTTGTGCTGAGGCGCTCGAGGCGTTTGCTGCGCTGCTGCCCAGCACCCTGGATCGGCTCTGAGATCAGGGCGTCCACGTCTGTGATCTCGATGTGTACTGGCTTACTGTGCCCCTGTATGGCTTGCTGTGCTGCTGTGTGACTCTTATGCACTTTCACTGCAAGGAAAACAAACGGATGCCCGTGCACGACCCCCTCATGCAACGGCTGACGTTGCCTGCCTGCTCCGTCAAGAAATCGACTGTTGAAATCCCGCCAGGTTATCTTCAGGATTCCTTCCTCAAATCATTCTCCGTAGACGTGGTGCCGCTTATTTGTCATCGTCCGTCTGCACCGCGGCGTGTGTAATCTGATGCATTTTCGCGTAGTTTGATAAGACAACGCCTGCCGTCTCCACACGAGCATTCCTCTGTGTGCGCTTGCGGGCGAACGCCATGACCCTTCCGGGTCACCATCCAATCACATTCATGTGTAATCAAACTCAACTACCTCACGCAAACTCAGCTGCTGTTACCGCACGTTGGTGGATGGTGGTTGGGTCGCGGTATCGATCAGGCACAATGGTGGACTCCCAGTCAAGCCGGCATCCTCGGTAACGAGCTCGCGGACTCCGCTGCGGGCGGGGCGTGCCACGCGCGCGTGTGTACTCCTTCCAGCATGCGACTGTTACCCAGCTGGGTTGTGATTTCTGCAACCCAACTGGCAGCTCTTTTAGAGCTTACAAGATATCTTAAGAATGTCCGTCGCACCAACAGGCAGCGGCGCCTTAAGCTCGGCCCGGCAGGAACTGATTGCATATACGTTTGTGAAGACTACAGACACCCTTCGTCTTCGCCTCTCCCACCAGATGTCTGTCTTTTTGTGTAGAGATTTTGTCATTCTTACAACCCTTCAACACGTAGCCTGTCACCCTGAATTGCCAGCCCATGGGGAAAGTTGGAAATGAGGATGCGCACGCTTCAGCGAGGGTGGCTGCATGTGTGCACAGGCCAAAGGCCATTTATGTACCTGCTCGAGATATCAGATCGGTATTCTTCAAGCGTCCTCCCACCACCGAAGCCGCTGCCGAGAAGTTCCGCTCTAAAGGCTTTGCTGGGGCTATACAGGTGAACACATGCGTTCTATTTTACGAAACAGAACAGTGTGATGACGTGTGGAAACGGTGGTCTGTTGAATGAGGCTTGGCCTCTTGCCGACGCCTCAAAACGGAAAGGCGTCACTTTTTTACTTCTCCTTCGGCTGATAGGCCAATGCACATGCCGCAGCATCGCAAATGTCCTCGCGTTCTAAACACACATGTACTTGGCCGTTGTATATGCTGGGCCTCCTTACATTGAAGGTGCAACGCTGGAGCCTGTATTGAGGGGCGCAAAATAACATCGTTGTCCAAGTGCCCTTAAACGCAAATACCATCAACACCTTCACCATTGATATAAGCGGCTTCGCACAGTCCAGCTATGCCATGCAGGGTGGCCGGCCGACGAGGGCGCTGCCTCCGATCTGTACTGTAGCGTGACAGAGCCAAGCGCGGTGACACCCAGCGGCTGCAGGTGGTGAGGCGTGTGGCGCGACAGGCTCCGTAAGTTAACGGCCCACTGCCGAGCAAGGTTAAGAGCTTCATGAGGCACGTCACTCGTGCCTTACTGGTGTGCCATTTGTAACATTGTCTGAGGTAATCGTGTACAGGTAATGATGATGATGATGATGGTACTGATTGACTTTTCTTTTTATTGGCTTGGAACTTACCTGTGACGTACCCACGCTGCACAGTGGCGCCGTGATGACCCGTTTCAGCGTTGTAAAGCTGGGTATGTTTTCAGACGAAGGCGTCTTAAACCATTCGGCCTGCTCTTCATTGTCTGGAGGCCCTCAGATCGCGCCGGCGGCGGCGGCCGCTCGCGGGGCTCAAAAGCGCAAGCTGCCCGTACCAACTCCTGCGTCCGAAAGAAGAAACGTCTGAGCAGCAAGCGGCGGTGAACGAAGCATCCGCTCAGTGGACCGTCTGTATCCGATGGCGTGCTTTGTGTGTGTCACGTAGACCTGTGAAACGCAACCAAGTGTCGTTCAATCGTACCTGGGGAGGCGAATGCAAGTTATGAGCCCTTGGATAGTAGCATTCGCTTCTATGCTCTAGATGAGCGCGCCTCTTAAAGTAAAATACGCGATGTCATTTGGTAAGCTGGCAATCGCTCGGCTTCACAAACATATCTCAAGCGTATCTTTCCATTATTGGTAGTGCTTGGCCAGTTTGGAAATATCGTGTGAAGAATGGAGGCGTGCAACGTTGTTTTGTAATTTCGGTACTGTGTGATTGACGCCTCCTCGGAGATGTGTTGGACAGTTCTGTGATAACGTAGTTTATGTCGCTGAACGATAAAATCAACTAACTTTGTGTTTGGATGCACCTCATATTGAATCCGCCCGCTGATGTGTGACTTGGACGTTTGAATGATCGCATCGGTTTTGGTTTCGTCCCGGGAGAATATACATATATAAATTATGCCGAGCAACGAATCAGTACGCTTTAACGTTATAGGCAAAAGAAGAATGAATTGCGCCATTCACAGGACTGCCCTGTGCAGTTTCTGCAAGCTGGCACAGTTCCCAGACCATCCGACTTACAGAGCGGTGTTTTCGCTGAGCATACGAAGCCTGCTTCAGCTTCAACGATCACGACAGGCTTCTCCTTTTCGTGTCCGGATGCGATCAGTTCTATGTGAGCGGCTTAAACTTACGATACGTCGTCCGACTTCCCCCATGGAGATTGCTCTTCGGGAGCTTACGTCGCCAAGGGCGGATGTTTCAGTGTTAGGCATGCGAAAGCAACGCGTGCTTGCGACGGAACTAAAAAAGCGGAGCCTTAGAACGCATAGCTTCCTCTGGTGGATACCTGATATTACCTGGCACGTGACCCGCACACCAAGCCATTTTTTAACGCATGATTTGCATGCTGTAGAGACAGGTAAAGTTTTCCAGTTTTTTTCTGTTCAAGCCCCCGCATTACTGCATTCTGGATAGCAATGTTGTGACGTCATCATGGGACTAAGTCATGTGGCACGTTCTGACGGCGTGAAAACGCTGTTCTTTGCGGGTTGGTTTAAACAGAAATTTATTTTCACCTAGCACATTCAATGAAATATTTTCAGTTGGGAAATGGCGTCGGTTTGCACCAGAGGATTAAAATTATTGGTGAAATGCGCTTCCAGCCCGCCCCCGACAGACAGATGGGGTTATCCATTCACCAGGGATTTATCAGGAATAACTCTAGCCTGAGAAAACTCTAAAAGAAAACTTTAGCAGCTGAGAAGTAGTTTAATAAGGATTTTTGGGGGCGGTGGGGTATTATTCTATGCGCACCGCTTTTATCTAACTCATCCAATATTACAGATCAAGTTTGTATCAATTCGTCCAACATTAAGTTAACCAACACCTGGGGAGACAAAAGCACAGCAACAGCGAAATTATTGGCACCTGCCCTCCTCACATTACCTTATTTTCACGTTTCACTCCATGTAGATATTGCAGTACGAGGATTTATGCGCATGCATTGCCCATTAATGAATTTAATGCAAACGTCACATATGATTTTGATTTATTCATATTTAAATATTCCTTCTACAAAAAAACATTACATATGGATATTCACGTGCGTTGGCCTTGACGAATATGGCTCGTGTGTTAAAACGAAAATGTGCCCCCCCCCCCCCTTGGGAGGCACCGCCTTTCCGTGGTCGGGGGGATTGCGTGCCCCAATGATCCTGCGGGCGGTCGGGGAGGCTTGTAAAGCGCCTCGTCCGGCCAAAGGGGAGGGGCCAGACGAAACGTGCCTCCCGCAAGGGCTCTGACTCGTTCAGAGTAGGGATTAGCAACCCCTCGGCCCCAGCTTTTCAGTCCTGCCTGGGTCTCGCCGTAGCCCGTTGGATCCGCAGGTAGCGATAAAGGGATCCTGGTCCCTGATGGAGTTGCCCTGCGGGTCAGTCGGGGCAGCTTACCAACACGTGGCTTTGACCCAAATTTGTGATCCTGCGGATGCCTCGTGAAGTCTCCACACGAGGAAATCGGTTGGTCAGGCGTCGTGTTTCCGTGACGCTGGCTTGGAGGCAAGCAGGCCATGTGAGGGGTGTTGAGGGGGGAGCTGCCGGGTGCAGTGTCTGCCTCGTCGCGCCCTAAAACCCCAAATCATCATCATCGACACCATTAAAGGACCGTACCTCGGTTTGTTACCAGGGTGCCTGGTTAGCCACTGCGAACCGAGGCACTGGCGCCCGCAGACTCGTGTCCGGCGGCTCTTGCAGCAACTATTTTGGCACACTGGTCTGCGTGTAGCGTGCTGGTAGTCCTGGCGACTCCTCTCTTAGAAGTGAACCGTCCTCGTGTTGGGCTCCACGGTGGGCGGGGAATCAGCGCGCCGAATATAAACACATACTTATGGAGACCATATCATCAGGCAATCCCCAAACCCCGACCGTCGTTCTGTGCCATTGCCCCAGATTCTGGCCGAACGTAAGATCCGCCAAGGTAGTGACCAAGGAAAAATAGTACCGCTCCGACTGAACCCTTTCAGCGCCTACATTTTCCAAGATCGGGACACCCAAGGATGTCTTTTTGTGTGCGTATGGGGGCATAGAAGTGCATCTAACAGACGAACGCGAGATCCAGTGCATACTCAAGACGACCACACTAATCTACGAAGTACGAGGACAGAGAACATTAGGGTGCCCGTATCAGTGCACTCTCACCCCTCTAAGAACTACTCCAAGGCTGTGATTGCTTGCCGGGACCTTCGCGGTGTGAGTGATGAGGATGTTGCTGAGGGCTTGTGTGAGGAAGGGGTAGCGGCGGTGAGACGTATCAAGAGGAGAGAGAAAGAGAGAGAGAGGAGAGCTGACCGGTACTGATTCGATTATTCTGACGTTTTGCTTTGCGAGAGTGCCAGATAGGGTCCGCGTGGGATATCAGTCGGTCCCTGTTAGGGTCTGTGTGCCCGATCCAGTCCGATGCTACCGGTGCCAGACGTATCGTCACTTCACGGACAAGTGCTGGAAAAAAGTTAGATGCGGAAGGTGTGCGGAAATAGGTCACCAACACTGAGTGTAAATCAGAAACCGTGAAATGCGTCAACTGTGGTCAGGGTCACGTGGCGTCATATCGCAGCTGTCAGTCCTTGTCAGCGAAAGCTGTCCTGAATATCAAAGTGAAGGAAGGAGTCTCGTTTCGGGAGGCCCAACGCCGACAACGATGCGAGCACCACAAGGACATGGTGCACCCTCACCCCCCTAAGAACTACTCCAAGGCTGTGATTACTTGCCGGGACCTTCGCGGTGTGAGTGATGAGGATGTTGCTGAGGGCTTGTGTGTGGGAGGGGTAACGGCGGTGAGACGCATCAAGAGGAGAGAGAGGGAGGGGAGCTGACCGATACTGATTCGATTATTCTGACGTTTTGCCCTGCAAAAGTGCCAGATGGGGTCCGCGTGGGATATCAGTCGGTTCCTGTTAGGGTCTAGGTACCCGATCCAGTCCGATGCTACTGGTGCCAGACGTATGGTCACTTCACGGACAAGTACTGGAAAGAAGTTAGATGCGGAAGGTGTGCGGAAATAGGTCACCAACACTCTGAGTGTAAATCAGAAACCGTGAAATGTGTCAACTGCGGTCAGGGTCATGTGGCTTCATATTGTAGCCGTCAGTCCTTCTTGTCAGAGAAAGCTGTCCTGAACATTAAAGTGAAGGAAGGAGTCTCGTTTAGGGTGGCCCAACGCCGACACAACGATGCGACCACCACAAAGACGTACAAAGACGCCCTTACTAAACCGGCAAGAAATCTAGCCTAAGTGACATCCGCAGCCAACGAGGTACTGAAACTGAGTGGACTTGATTTCAAAGGCATGACTGTAGGCGAGTTTCTTTCTTTTCTAAGTCTTTCTTTCTTCTCTTTCTTGGTTTCTTTCCTTTCTTTTCTTTCTTTCTATTCTAAGCACGCTTGTATCAACTGGCCCTGCTGCCACGTCGTCCCGCAAGTCGGATCCTCCGAAAAAGGATCCACCTGCGGCATTGGCCGCCGCTAGAGAAGCTCAACCTATGGGGTTGGACCCCCCCCCCCCCCCCCCCCCCCCCCCGGTGGAGCTGCCAAAGAACCTGGGACTGGGGTGCGACCCGGGAACGGGAATGGATCGCGGTCCAGCGAGGCCGTGGACTTCGCCCCCCCCCCCATCATTGCACCCCTGTCCAGCCCGTGCTGAAGATACGCCCTCTCGGGCTCCATCTCCCCCTCCTTCCTTACCAGCTACGACGGGATCTGTCCTCACTGGCACAGAAGCGCTACAAGAGCTGACGCCCTCTGGCCCCTCAGCTAATGGTCCTGCCGGGAGCGCCGGTCCTCTTGGCTCACGGGAGCCGGATAAGGTTCGGCATCTGGTCCCCGCAGGGGCACCGGCTTCGGCCGGTGTAGGGGGCCCCACACGAGTCTAGCGGCTTGTCGCTTGCGCTACGGATGGGTGCTTCGTGCGGGTCTCCGCTTGGGGCGCCTGGCCGCGCGCAGCGGCTTAAGGGGTCAAGGGGAGGCGGCGCTGAACCACGGTCAGGACGGGGAGGGGCCTCTCCGGTTATACCTGGTCGTGCGGGAGGCGTCGTTTGCCCCGTATAGCACCGGGGAGCCCTGGTGGTGACCACCTCCCGAGGGAGTGTCGGGCCGTCCCCCAGTTGGGCTCCGTGGTGGGTGGGGAGCCCCGGTGCCGAAAGAAAACCCCTCTTTGCATGGCATTTTCTAACCCTAAAAACACTCGTCCTCCGAAGGGGGGTAGGACCACGATAACCCAGGGGTGTCGCGACATCGAATTGTGGCCCGTTTGGACGGTTTTGGGTCACCTGATTCAGCATCTTACCAGGCTTGTTGGCTGCCTGCATGAGGCCTGTAATAAGTATCCAATTTTTTCCCTGCCCAGAACAATTATCTACCCAGATCGTGATGGCCTCCACATCTCGCTGCAGCTCAATGTACCGAACGAAGGCGGAACATACGTCAGCTGCGTCCCGCCCCGTTGTACCCTCATGCCACACGATCGAAACGGCCTTCGGTTCTCGTTTGCCGAGCGGTGAAAACGCCTCGTTGTAAACCACAAGAAGAGACGTGAATATAGCGACTTTGCGCGGGAGCTGTGGCAGAAGGAAGATCTGCGTCATATTTGCGGACACGACAAGCTCATTGTCTTCCTACACCCTTATAAGCGTCTTATAAGCGATCCGCGCCTCGTTTCTGTGCTTGATGTGCTGGATGTGAGCTTGACAGTCCCTTCGCCGTCGCTGCACGTGTGCAGTGAGTGTGCCGCGCATTCGGCACATTCCTCATTACCAAGTTGCGTGAACCCTATGTTCATTTCAGCCATGGTTCGACGATATCTTGTTTCTGAGCATTTGTTGATGACATGCATTTCTTGAAAATGCTTGAAGAGGGTGGCTGTATTTAGATCCGGAGGCAAGCACCGCCACTCCGGAGCGTGCAAAT